CCCTTACTATATTTATTAAAAACCCTCGATCATCAGTCTTACTTAAATGAATACTATTATATAAAATCATTGCTTCAGTTAAACAGCTTAGGAGAAAATCATCTTCATAATAATCCACAGGTAAATATGCCCAAGTAGAATGGGATATTTCCAATAGATGATCATTCTGTATTAAGGGCAGTTCGGATCTCCCCATGCCCATTCACACCATGCCAGATAAGAGAGAAAAATGACAGCAGTAAACATGCAAAGACAAGCAGTAGCAAGAAGCATTCTGGGGCCAAGGCGCTCACAAACCTTGCCTACTCAAGATCCACCCATCATGGTTTTGTTTCCTGGTGGACTGATCCCCTGAAGTCAACTGGCATCTGTTCCTCCTCTGACATGGCCGTGGGCACATGACCTCTATACCTCATCCTCCAAAGATCTTTGTATTTCTGTCCTCCTGGTCAGAATGCCACCTTTACTAACTACCTCAGGAGGCTCAGTCAGGCTTACTAGAAAGTGTGACGTTTGTAGAAAGAGACCAATGAGAAGCCAGACATCATTCAGAGAGTTGGAGAACTCGGTCTTACTATGGAGCAGACCAAACTTGAGCTAATGCTGTGAGGAGATGGGCTCTGGCCCATATCTTTTACAGCATTTTTAGGCTAGTAGTGTCATTTCTGATCTATTCTGTCATCGATGAGCTACACTTTCACTCTACCTGACTGAGGGGCATGCTCAGAAGTTTCTTTGCAATGACAAGTTTACTGATGTAGAAACAATAAGGTTAGAATGGCTATATTTGGATAATGTCTGTTTCTAAAGATATGGAAGGGGTTTTCAGCTGGTGCAGACTAATGCCTGTTTTCTAGAGATAAGAGAGGAGTTTTAGCTGATACAGGAAGTAAACAAGATAAGTTTAGTAAAAATTTTAAGTCATTCTGATCCTCTTCATTAATCCCCTCCCCTTTTTCTTTCTTTCTTTTTTCTTTTCTTTCTTTTTTTTTTTGTTTTTTGTTTTTTGTTTTTTGAGACAGGGTTTCTCTGTCGCTTTGGAGCCTGTGCTGGAGCTAGCTCTTGCCCAGAGCTGGCCTCAAACTCACACAGATCCGCCTGTCTCTGCCTCCTGAACACTGAGTGCTGGGATTAAAGGCGTGTGCCACCACCCACCAGGCCAAAGATTTATTTATTTATTATGTATACGGTAGTCTCAGTATTCTGTCTGTGTGTACACCTGCAGGCCAGAAGAGGGCACCAGATCCCATTACAGATGGTTGTGAGCCACCATATGGTTGCTGGGAATTGAACTCAGGACTTTTGGAAGAGCAGGCAATGCTCTTAACCACTGAGCCATCTCTCCAGCCCCCCTTTTGATGTTCTTATTCTCTCTCTCTCTCTCTCTCTCATATCTCTCTATGTAATCCTGGCTGTCTAGGGTGTTACTATGTAGGCCAGGCTAGCCTTGAACTCACAAAGATCCTGCCTCTGCCTCCTGAACACTGGGATTAAAATTGTATGCTACCATATCAGGCTTTTATACTTTCCTACAGTATCAATCCCTGTGTCTTTTTGGTTGATAAACTAACATTTGAAGTTTGATGCCTCTCTGTGGGAAGAGGAACCAAACAAGCAAATTAAGGATTTGGGAACCTTTATGAGTGTCATAAAAACCTTAAGGAGCCTGGTGGTGGCGGTGCAAGCCTTTAATCCTAGCACTCAGGAGGCAGAGGCAGACAGATCTCTATGAATTCAAGGCCTGGTCTACAAAGCAAGATCCAGGACAGACTCCAAAGCTACACGAAGAAACCATGTCTTGAAAAACAAAACAAAACAAAACAAAAAAAGCTTGAGGAGAGGATCAATTAACAGAATTAGCCAGGTATCCTAATCCAGAATATTATTTTAATAACTCCAGGAATCAAATACATAGAGGCCATCAAACTTCAATGGAAGACCCAAGTTTATTTGAGCATTAGCTCAAGTTGGGTCCTCTGCTCAGAAAGGCTGAATTCTCCATTTTCTGACTAGCGCTTGATTTCTCCTTCTTCAATTTATGCAACAAGGTGGATGAGGACCAGAAGTTTAAAGTCACCACCAGGTATTATCAAGTTCAAGGTCAGACTGGAGAGGAGGCTAGAGAGCTACCTAAAGAGTTAAGAGCACTTTTCTTGCAGAGGACCTGGGTTCTTTTCCAAGCACCCACATGGTGGTTCATAATCACCCACACATCCAGTTCAGGGAATCTAACATGCACTTCTGATTGATAAGGGGACTAGGCATATGCATAGTACACACAGATACAGGGAGGCAAAACAATCACATACATAAGATAAAAAGTAAATATAACTTTAAAAAGTAAAAGGAGAAAGGGGAAAATAAAGAGGATAGAGGGAAGGAGTGAGGAAGGGAGAGACAGAGGAATGGAGGGAGAAAGATATGATGAGACAGGCTTTTCGTTCCAGCATGTGGAAGCCAGAGGCAGGTGAATCTCTGTGAGTTCAAGGTTACCTGGGCCTATGTAACAAGTTCCAGGTCATCTAGAACTATACTGTAAGACCCTGGCCTTGGGGCTGAAGAGACGGCTCAGTGGTTAAGAGCAGTGACTGCTCTTCTAGAGGTCCTGAGTTCAATTCCCATCAACCATAACCACATGGAGACTTACAACCACCTGTAATGAAGTCTGGTGCCCTCTACTGGTCTGCAAGGACACATGCAAATAAATCTTAAAAAAAAAAGATCCTGGCCTCAAAACATATTATTAATTATTATTATTGTTATTATTATTTTAGTAATTAAAAGAAAGGAAGGAAAAAAGACAGACAGACAGACAGACAGAGGAAATAAATGAACATCTGATGGGCCAGCACTTACATGCTTTGAAATGTCTACATGGAGATTTACAGCCATTTGTAACTCTAGCTCCAGTAGATTCAGTTCTTTCTTTTGGCCTCCTTGGGTGCCAGACAAATACTGGTCAGAACTAGAGGGAAGGCTTGAGTGTATTTAGGGGCATGATGCTGTAGCAGGGCCCCAGACCTTAGCAGACCCCTAGACCTTAGCAC